CCTATGTTTTCTTACGCGACTATATATATATTTTTTTATACGACCTTGAAGCACTAAAATTTTAAATCAAACGTGAGACTTCCTTTCGTTTTTCACACCATTTCTTCCATCCGAAAAATTTTTCACAAATACCATTTTTTTCTATATTTTTCAAGGTCACCTGTTTCCTTGCACGAACGTATATAATCTTTCATGTGACCTTAAAATGACCTTAGACACTAAAATTTAAAATGAAACGTGAAACTTCCTTTAATCTTTCGCCATTTCTTCCATTAAAAAAAAAAAAAAATTCTTCTTCCACCACGTCCTATCGCTTTGAAACCATTTAAATTACGTACAAAAATTTTCTCCTACCACCATAAGCTAGAGAAGATAAATTAGGCGGCCAGTTTCGCGTGGCCCACCCTGTACACACGTTCGGTCGCTTACAAAAACTAAGCATTCTCTTCACAGGCATCTCGAAGCAATTAAAACCGACATTCAAAAATGGTCAATTCGCTCGAAGAACGAATTTATCAGTGTTAGCAGAAAAAAAAAAAAAAACAAATAGAAGCGTTGGTGGTACCCGCATATATCTCTCGACATATCTTTTTTTACTCTTTTTGGTCACAGTGTTTCAAGAACGAGACGAAACACGATCAGGAGGGGGCTACTTTTTGGTTTCCCTCGACGTAGCAGTGATAGACACAGCGAATTTACGAACTTAATCACAGCACTTACGAGGACGAAAGTGACGATTAAAAGCTTTGTACTAAATCTCACGGCTAAATATCCCCGACAAAAAAGAGACCTTCTCGTGTGAACGAAAAGATCTCGTCGTTTCCTTTTCTTTTCTTTTCCTTTTCTGTTTTCCCCCATTTGTACTAGCAACGAACTCTAACGAGTTAGATGTATATATATATATATATATATATATGTGTGTGTGTGTGTGAATATATGTATTTTTATATTTAAATAAACGAACAATCGATTTGTTGCTCGACAGATGATTCCGCCTATTTAAACATGAGAGAGAGTTTTATCAATCGACCGGTGTGATCAACGTTGTTCGACCAGAGTTAAAGAAAGAACAGAACCAAGTTAGAAGGATAATCAGAGATTCTACGATAGCAAATCTCTGGCTAGAAAGAAAAAAGGGAAATTCATAAATAGGGCACGATGATCTTCTCGTACGAATTGACAGAATTACGTACAGAAGTGAATTAGACTAAGAAGAAAGAAAAGAACGGAGTTAAAAGATCTTCTCTACGAAGATTTCTCTCTGTTTCTATTCTGTCGCTCTGCGAAAATCTAGTCTCCGTGGAAAAGGGAAAAAGTCGATTAAATAAAAGGTACAAATAATAACTATGCCTCTCGTCGTTTCGCGCAATACAACTGTAGACGGTCTGCTTAAATCCTTCCTCTTTTTTTCTTTTCTTTTTCAGGGTAAATCGTCTCTCCTCTAAGGAGATCCCCGCGAGAAAGCAAGAACAGTTTCGGAAATTTAAACGGACAATGTTTTCACGGGTTTGGATTTTTCGCGACGATTATTCGTGAATTTGTTACAATGCTCGTAACGAAACTCTATAGCCCCAAACTGTCCAGCGCGCTTCGTTTCGCGCGACTTATCGATCATAACCCATTTTTTGCTCTTTTTCTTTTTTCAGGAATATCTCGGTGGTTCCTTGTTAAAAAGCGTCCAATACGCGATGCAATTTTGCAAACAGGATCGTTATTCGCGATGAAACGTGTCAAAAATACTGTGTATCTGTGTGTATGTGTGTGTGTGTATATTAATGTTTTCGAAGGATCTAACTTCTACGAAGAAATTGGTATCGAGAAAATGTGAAACCTTCTTTTTTTTTCGAATCTTCTACGAGGTAAGAGTAATTTTGAAAAATCTAGAGCGATTGAGAAATCTAAACACACTGATAACGTACAAATCTCGTTACGGTTCTCCATGTAAATTGGAATTAAAACGGGCTAGAAACTTCGTTTGCTGCACTCTGAGCGAACGGGGAACAACTGTTAAAATATCGAATAAAATCGAAAACGTTAAAAAGGACGAGAATAAAGGAAAAAACATAACGCATATCTGAACAGGTACGAGAATTAAAAAACTACCTAGCGTACTATAACGAGACTCTGAATCGTTATAACATACACAGAGTCCCGTTTCCTTTAAAATTCTTGCTCGTATACAATGCAAGAATACACTCGTATTTTTATGCAAATATCAATGTTACACGACAAACGTCCAATTATTACACGCGTTACGAATTCGTCGTACGATCGAACAATTCGCGAATAAAAATACGCACAGCTGATACGTTGTGCTACGCACGATTTGCATCGCAAATCAACTAAAATCCTTTGGATTCAAAAGCAAACTTTCCTTGCAAAATATACGAATCTCTTTTTATACACGCTCCGATACACGCGTAATACAATTTAGATGTACACTCGCTACGATATACACCTTCTTCTATCTCTTTTTCTTTTTCTTTCGTGTGTGTGTTTTTGCTCTTTTTGTTTGTTTCATCGTGCAAAATACGTTGAAAGTATCATTTTTAAATATTAAATAACTAACGAAGTCGTTTTCGTTCACGAGAGAAAATATTCTACGAACGTCAAAACGCGACAGTTAATGTGTACGATCGATAAGAATCAAAGAACGAGTCCCGATCATTCATAAAAGAAGAAACCTCGCGTGCTGTTACGTTCTTTAAAACGTACATATACCTGTATACTTTCATTACTATTGGGTTGTTTCCTACGAAATGGTCGATTTTTTACGACATTTTTTAAAATTAAATTAAATTAAATTAAATTAAATGAAGCTTGAAGTTAATCAAAACTATTTGCTATTTAATAGTGAAATTAATTAAGGATCCAGCATGATCGATGGTTCGTCGATTGTTTCACTATTAAATGGCAGATTGTGTTCGACAGTGAACCACGAATTAAGATTAAATTTTACTGACTATTTTTTTATAGCCAAAATTTAATAACGAAATTAAAGTAAAAATCGTTTTTAAAGACCTCGCTGCGTCTAGAAATGAAGAATTTTTTTTTATCAAAGAAATAAATAATCTGGTTTTTGGAAACCAGTGGATCATACTCCGATTAATAAATACTATTATTACTGAAATTATCAACGTGGAAAGTTTCACTGATATCTCGGCCATTTCACCTGCAGCAACCTAATATCAACCTTAGTGTAATAACGTAACATAGTTCGATTTTTTTTTTCCTATCGTGATGTTCAGAACTGTCGTTATAGAATCCATTAAAATGCCCGGAGAACTCGAATATAGCCGATAAAATTCTCATTGGTGTAGCTTTAGAAACGACGACCGTCTCGGAATTCCCCGAATGAATTTCCTATAAATCCGTAATAATCGTGCACGAATGAACTTTCATGGAAAGCATGTCTCGACGGCACACAAAACACAGATGAACGCGGCGCGACGATCTCAAACGGACACTTTTTTGTACGGCGCTGGTGAGCAGCTTTGTGCAACTGAAACGTGGTTTTGTCGTGTAAAGCCCGGTTCACACGGAGCGATTCGACGTCCTCGTGATTTCGCAGCGATGACGCTGTGCAATTCGTCATATTTGGATTTCTGTGCATTGTATCGTTGAAAATGTAAAAGAACTCCTTAGATCAACGCGCAATATTCGCAGGGGTAGCGAATATTTCATGTCGACAGGTTGACAGGGGCAGCGAATATTTCGTGGCAACAGATTCACAGGGGCAGCTGAAATTTCGTGGCAACAGATTCGCAGGGGCAGCTGAAATTTCGTGGCAACAGATTCGCAGGGGCAGTGAAAATTTTGTGGCAACAGATTCACAGGGGCAGCGGTTTATACATTCGTAGAGGCACAGTATACGTAGGCGGCTTAAAAGCGTATTCACACCAACGCGAAAAATTTCCGCTAAAACTGCGAAATTGTAGCAATTTTTTCGCATTTCACTTTTCAAGACATTTTCTTGACAACCTGTCGAATCGTACAGCATCACCGCTGCAAAATCGTAACTTCTTCGCATCACTCGCGTATACTAGGCTTAATACACCTATCGTGACCGTACGATAGCAATTTTTTCGCATTTCACTTTTCAAGACATTTTCTTGACAACCTGTCGAATCGTACAGCATCACCGCTGTAAAATCGTAACTTCTTCGCATCACTCGCGTATACTAGGCTTAATACACCTATCGTGACCGTACGGATTGAAACGAAAGGCAATGATCGTGAAAAAGGGGTATCTACTAAATTATCCAAATCATCGATGAATGATCGCGAATCGATCGAATTTCGACGATCGTAGTAAAAGTTAGAACACTTCTCGTATGCACCACACGGACAACGCACAGCGGATTCGTTTAGACGTAAGGCAGTCAAAACAGAAATCGCTATGAAACTGTTCGAACCACAGACGGTGTTACAATTTTTTTGCCTCTTTTTTTACGTTTTTGGGAGAAGATGATTTTCGTTTAAATATATCTATACAGAAGAGAGTTTCATTTCTCGAAATTCCTACTGTCTGTGTGTGTGTATATAATGTGTGTATGTGTCCATTTTTTGTCCTCAATCCCCTATAATGTTTATTCGTTTTATGCATTCGACTCGAACGATCGATTGGATGTACATGAGAACGGTACAGCCTTGCCCTTAGAAAATTTCATCAAGTGCCTACGCGACGATCATTTGTGCTGATTCTGTTCTAACGTGATATCTCGCAAATCAACGTGCTACCAGTATTTCTATTTTCAACGATTTCCCATTTTAGAAAATATTCTCAAAAATATGAAATATTACGTGAAGCTTCCAGAAGACACTCGTTGTTCGACCAAATCGGAGCTGAAGTTAGCTCCCCTAGTGAAGTGATTGTATCATACATATTTCCTAAGATGATCGTTTCTCGTATAAACGATCGGGTTACGCTCGATCGTCACAACTTGACAATCGCGTACACGGCACGTTTTCCAGATCATACTCCTGCTAATCGACCCCGGTTACTTGCATCAGGAGTATGTAAAGGGCAAGGCTGGCCCTAGGTACATCCATACAATCCTCTACTCATCTGCGTTTTTTTTTCTTCGACCTGTTGCCTTTCTTGGGGGTGGCGTAGGCAGACGTGGTCGAGGTGTTCATAGCGCTTTTCTCAGCCGTCTCGCGGCCAGAAGGATCTCCCTCAATGCTCGAGAACACCACGTTCGCGTTCAACTCATCCGAGGAGCTCGAACCTTCAGGCACGACCTCTTGCTCCGAGTCGCTTCTTTTCTCTGGCTTGGCGTCTCGCTCAGGTTCAGAGAAATCCTCTTTGGTGAATGTTTGAGTTACAATTGTCGTCTCGACGTTACAGTTCTTCGAGTCGTTCGAAGCTTTTACATCGATTTCGCTCGAAGCCTTCAGCTTCAAGGATTTCTCGAACGTCTTCTCGCTCGGCGATTGCTCGGAGGACGTGGTTGAAAGTTTCAGAAGGACACAGTCGTCCATGGACTCGACGATCAATTGTTCCGATTCTTTACTCGCGGAGGACATCACTTTGAAACCGGTAGCAGCTTCCAAGGAATCAGTCAAGAGATCCAGCTTTCTGCGTGGCGCCTCCTCGATTGATTCCATTCGCGTACTCGATTCCGAGAAAGAAGCAGTTTTCTTCTTCACGATCGAGCTCCAAGATATCACCGTCGTCTGGATGGAAGGTTCTTCCACGCTCGTTTCTGTAACAACTTCTTTCAGTTGATCGATCACCGCTGACGAACGAATCGACGATTCGACGTTCCTCCGACAAACTCTCCTCTCTTCGGTGCTCGACACCTCCGCGATTGGATCGACTTCGCGTTCCTTCTTGGTGTCTTGCTCGGAAGAGAAGCTGTTCCTCTTCTTCACGACAGAGCTCCAAGATACTTCCGACGTTTGAACTAAAGGCTCGGTGTCTACTTCTGTGACAGCCTCTTCGAGCTTGTCTACCACTTGCGAACTCGACTCCTTCGTGTCTGAATTCCTCCTCGGCGAAGTCTCTTGCAACTTCTTCTTCAGAGACTCTATCTTCTCGCGGAGGTACAACCGCGTCGCAACTTGTGTGGAATCAGGCGTCTCCTTCGCCTCGTCGTCCTCAACTTTATCGCCTTCATTTCGCGACTCCGACTCAGCTACGGGAGACATGCTCTTCTTCTTCACGACTGTGCTCCAGGACACCTCGGCAACTGCCTCCTGCGGACTCGGCTCTTTTACAGTTTCCTCGACGTGCTTCACGGGTTCAACAGAAGCTTCAAAGACTTGTACGTTACTCTCGACGTTAGATTTCTTGTTCTTTCGCGACTTTTTCGTTCGCGTTCCGCATAATTCCGGTCCAGAGAGAATTTTGCATTCCGGAGCGGTTGTGGTATCAGCTAGAACCTCTATCTCAGCTTTCTGCATCGCGTCGATGTCGATTATCTCAATTCCTGCTTGCGATCGCTTAGGCGCAACATTCGAAGGAGACGTTTTAACGGGACGAATTTTAGCTTTCTTCAGAGGACTTGGATTTTCAGTGACGGGAATATCTTTAGCGCTGACACCTTCTTCCGATTCCTCTTTCTTCTCTGTGTTCTTGTTCTTCCAACTCTCGGCCGGTTTGATGATCACAGTCACGTCAGCAGCTGAAGTGTCGCTCTCGATCACCACGATGTCCTTCGTCTTCTTCGCGCTCTTCGATTTCGACGCCTGTTCCGTCGATATCTCCTGTGATTTCCTCGTGCTTCTCTCCTGAGCTTCTCTAGCCTCTTCACACGGCGCATTGCAGACATCTGAGTGTTCGACGTGCTCGAGATCGTCTGAGAACGTGCGTTTGTTTCTGGCTGCTACCGATTCGCTGTCGCTACCTTTGTCAGACTCGAGCTTCAGGTACTCTTTGTACGTTTTGTCAGGTGTCTCCACCAGTTCGGAAGAGTGTATGTACTCCAGATCGTCGTCGGATATCGTGTTCTTGCTGTTCTTCCTCTGCATGATGGGCGATGAACCGGCGCAACTTATAACGTCCGCGCATTTATCGCTATCGGTGCCATCAGCCTGCTGCAATTGAGTGATCTCAGAACTCTGTATATGCTCGATGTCCTCATCAGACTGAACCGACGTGCCGTCTTTGCTGCAGAAAGCAGAATCAACGATATGATACTCGCTCGAACTGAAATCGTCGGTTGAATCTGATGGCGGTGACTTATACTTATCCGTTTCTTTAATCGAGACATCTATGGTAACCATAGACTTGAAATCCTCCGTTTTATCTGCCTCTTCGGTTATAGCGTCCAATTCTACGAGCGGTTCTACTACTTTCTTGCATTCCGCGAGAAGTTCAACTTTCGCTTCCTTGCAATCCTGAACTGTGGAAGACTTTGACTTGCCCTTAGACTTTCCTGTCGCAGTTTCCTTCGAAGTTTCTCCGCTCTTGTTCTCACCACTCTCGATTCCACTCTTCTGGCAATCCTTCTTCTTGCTAGAACCATTCTTAGAATCGTCGCTGGTGGTAGTATCTTCGATGACAATGCTATCCTCGTGTTCCTTTAGAATATATTTCTTAGCAGGTGTCTTAGCCTCAACACGCTTACCAGAATTCGCGCTCGATCCGTTCCTTCCAGACTTCTTCGTAGTCTTCTCAGACTCGCTAGTCTTCTTACTCTCCGTTTTGCAGTGCGTCGATGTAGTTCTTCGTCCGTGAGCCAACTTGTTCTCCATCAGAACAACGCTGTCTTCGTCACAGTTCACCACGTACTGTGCCTCGGACATGCTTCTCTCGTGAGCTCGTTTATCCTCCTTTTTGTCGAGTTTCTTGCACCAAACTGCTTCCTTAGCTTGAGTCATAGGACTGCTGGGTATTTCACCCTGTTCCACGCAGAGACTCAAGCTAGTCGGTACATCGCGGAACGCTTCTTCCTTCTCGAAATCGATGGTAGAGTTTCCAGGATTGGTGATGGGAGCAATCTCAACGCAGAGTGCTTTTCTCTCCTTCACCTCGCAGATATTCTCGTCCGGCACGCTGTCGATCGCAGGTTCGCTAGCTGAACGCATTTCAGCACAGATCTCGGTGAGGTTGCGCAGACTTTGGCTCTCCGGCTCGAAATCACCGAGAGAGGCCGGGCCTTCTTCGGCACACACGCTCCTAGGTGGTTCCGGCACGTGGCTCTCCTCCGCGAAATCGAACTCCTGACTGGAGTTAATGTCCTCCTCATCGGCCGATACGGTAATCACGGTGCCCAGAGGGTTGACGACTTTAGTTACCGGTTGACCCACCCTCTCAAATACCGATCGCCTCCCTATTAACAGAAAAAGCCGTTGGCAGGTATCAATATCGAGTCACAACATCTCCCTTGTTTTACTTTCTTTTCTTTTCTTTTTTTCTTTCGGTCTTTTATGAAATACATCGCCTGAGGTGTGACAGAGGTATTCTTGTTCAAATGATATTAATCGAATAGTAAATTCAATGTTGCATCGTGAGGGAATACGGAGATACAAGAAAGACAAAGAAAGAAAGAAAGAAAGAAAGATAGAGAGAGATAGAGAAAGAGAGAGTGAGAGAGAGAGAGAAGAATCAATCGTGACTTCTAATGTAACAAAGCTGATATTCGATCCGAGTTTTCACACTGCACACCACAAAAACACAAACTTCAGGTTCGCAATATTACCGTGTCGAGATCAGATGGTACAGTCGAATAGATAGAAATAAATTGAAATAATTTGTTTTCGAACTACGTGAGAATGTATTCTTTTTCTTTTTTTTTTTTTGTTCTTACGTTCATTGGAATTTCAAATGAAAGGGAAAGATTCTTACAGGGGTTAGTTAAGACTGCACACGCAGCCTTTCAACTATTTAGCTCGACGTAAAGGGTAGACATTGATAAAATGTATCGCTGTTAGTGATAAAATGTAATATCATTAAAGGGTAGGGGGGAGGGGGCGGAGATACCTGCCTCTGGCCAGTTCTGTATCCACACAAACTTACAATCTAGCAATCATCCATCACTAAATGCAGAAAGCACGAATATCGTACCTGTTACTAAATACGTGCGCTTGCAATGATTGTAAAATATCCCCGAATTCGAACAAAAGTTCTAGGGTAAAATAAAAACATGATGAAAAATTTTACACTGTGCAATTATCTCGATGTAAAGATAGTCGCAATCGGTGGTGGCCCATTGAAAAAGGGAAATAAATTACGTACGACCACGTTGCAATCTAAAATCGCGTGTTTCAGGCACTCAAGAGTATACGTTTCAATAATTCGAATCATACTTTCGTTATGATGTACATGAAAAAAAAAACAAAAAAAAAAGCATGTTACGGAATATCGACAAATGGGATATGTCGGGATTCATATTCTTCTACTTGAAAACCAAGCGTCACACGTTCTGTGTAATGATTACTTACCTGGTGCACAATGAGGTGCGATCGACGTCTCTAGCATTGCTTCGGCCAGATCTTCTCTCAGTTGATTTTCACCACCGCCAATTCCAGTATTTTCACTATCTAAAGAATCACCGTATGCTTCCATAAATCTTGGGGATTGCTCGTAACTGCCTGAACAATACAAACACATTACACATGAGTTACAAAGATAGTTTCCTGTATCCTAGATGTATCGTGTTTGTAAAGACAAAGCACGCGTCTTTTTGCGTATCCATACAATCTGTAGTTATAGTTCGTTTTTCTCATAATGTATTGTTAACCATTAAATATAGATTACTTTTTAATGTGTTATTTCGCACCCGTTACAAGTTATGTAAAAAGATTGTTTTTATTGAAAATATACGAACTATAACAATTTAGGAAATTTATTATGAAAATATGCAATGTTTTCGCATGCTCGGAAAAAGACGCACTCGATATCTGCGTGAAATCGTTGAGAAGTCACGATAATAAAACAAAAGCTAACAGTATCTAAGAGATAAATTGTAAGTAAGTACTTATAGTGATATTTCCTATTAAGGATACTTCCGTATTAAAGACTAATGTTTACAAAATAGAAAAAGAAATGTATGTACGAACGAATTTTACAAATGTACACAAAAGTTTGAGAAATCATGAATGAATTTGAAGAATATTCATATAGGTACAACAAATCTAAAATATATATAATATGCTTGAGAAAATAAACATGTCTACATTTTCTATAAACTTACTTCCTGAGCCATCGATGACCACAGGTACCAGCGATCTGGATGTAGCATGCGGCATATTAACTGGATTTGATCTCGCTGGACGAGATCCACCGGTTACGCCGATTTCAACAGCTTCGGCTTCGACAAGATTCACCGGTGCTCTGTATTAATAAATACAAGTTGCAGGTAAGCACAAGTTATTTAAAAACTGATATTACACATTATTTACATATTTATGCAAAACTAACCCACTAGTTGCATTATAAGTTTTGAAAACAAACTGAGGTCCCATCCAAAGTCGTCTGTGTGGACCAGCATGTGTTACAATTTCTACTTGACTTAACCAATGATCCTCTGCTAAATCACTGTCGTGAATATCTTTCGGTATAGTATTTACGCTCAGTAAAGAAGTAGATGTTGGTAAAGGTGGCACAATCTCAAATGAATTCGGGGACCTTAAAAGAGGCCATTGGCCTTTGGCTTCAACCTCTAATTCTATCATTGTATCATCACATACTTTTTCTTTTGGTACACCTGAAATAATATTGTAATTATGTAATAAAATTTAATTGTAATATTGACATTAAATTCGTTCCATGTTTCATTTTAAATTATTTTATTCACCTGCAACTGGCTTAGGTTCTAAGTCGTATTGTATCATATTTCCGTGACATGCCATAATGAATAAAGAATCGACTGCCCTCTTCATAACTTTCGCAGTAGATTCCCTTTGTGCATACATCCAAGCTCTTGGAGGTGCAAAGCAAGCACAAATTTTTAATGGTAATGTTCCGCTATCGTCTGAGTGCAATCGTTGTCTTTGCTGCGGACTACTGCATCATATAAAGGAGAATAAATTTATAAAGTACGACAACGGAGTAACTATCGATAAATAAATGGCATTTACCTTTGTTGAACTTGACTATTTACGTGATTTAACGTTGACGGTTGTCGTATCTGTGCCAGAGGATGTAGTACAGTTGGATGAGGGTACGGAGGAAGTCTTGGATTAGAATATGGATACACTAATAAAGGCAATTCTGTATGAGATACGGGAGAATGAGATCTGGTTCCGTCATCCATTAAACCTGCACTTCTATGAAATCTTGAAAGTCTATTTACAACATGAGGTGTGGAATGAGTTCGTACTCCTACCGGTCCACCGTATGGTGCGACCGGGAAAACGTGAGTAGTGCCCCGTACAGTTGAAATTGCCGCCCAACGAGTATCGCTTGAAAATACCATATCCTGTTATAATAAAATATAAATATTTAACTTTAAACATTCTTAAAAATGTAAAGATTAGAAATGAACAAAGATATGTACATACTTGCACTTTTGCAGTAGTATCTCCACGATGTAAAATATATAAATGATGCACTGCTGCCAAAGTGGGGCCACCTGGATGCGGTTGAATTCTAAACACATGAAAATCATGCCCCCTTTTGTCAGCGGTCATTAGCAATGCACCGCTTAAATCAAAAGTCATGGCAACAATTGCATCACTATGGGCAGTAAAATGAGCAATTACAGTCTCTATATTTGCATCATCTAAATCTTTCTCCTCTTTAGCAGCTTGGAGATCTAATATTGTAATCACTCCTGGTTGTGTCGCATCGCTACCCATATTATTAACAGCCACCGGCGATACTGAATTGCCAGTTAAACTTGAAGCGACGGTTTCTCCCAAACCACGTAAACCTTTCCCTAGAGACTTTGCTGCGTATAAAACTGTTGCTGTGTAACTTTGAACTCCCTCACTCTCACAACCACCACTGCTTCTCTTCAGTGGTAGTAATTTCTTTTCACTAGAAATATTTTATATTACGACAGAGGTAATTTAATTTTAATAATTATTAAAGTCTCGAAGCATTATCATTACCTGTAAGCAAGCCATCTTGTACCTAAAGCAACAGGATTTGGATTTGGACCAGGGCTAACATAGCAAGTAGTAACTGTTAAAACATCTTCCAATGTTCGTGCATCAAACACAGCAATCTTTTCTAGAAATGTTACTATTATGGATCGTTTATTTGCCAAAATGTCGCAAACAGGATTTTTAAATTTTATGCTTTTAGCTTGTTCCCCAGTTTTCAATGAAATGAAACTAATGTTGCAAAATTGTGGTCCAGGTCCAGCTGAATCACATATTGCTACCATTGGCCGTTTCAATTCAAACAAATCAGTAGATTCATCAGTCTTTGGATTTGGTAAAATTCTTAGAGTGCGAACCACTCCTTGTCTCCATGACAACACTTCAGTTGCTTCTCCTGTTGCTGCTATCAACCATACCTATATTAAATAAAATTTGTTACATATCATTTTCACAATAATATTCTTAAAATAACATTACAGTGTAATATGTAATATCATATTCTATGTAGTTATTATATGAGTTTTACAAATAAAAATTTGGAAGCTTAAAGGTTCAACTTAAGAATAAATTCTTTTAGAGAATCAAATTTCAAGTATCATATTATCTCTGCAAACTACATGTACCTTGTTATTTTGATAATGAATGTGCGTGTTTACATATTATGCCTCCTAGATAAAATAAGATTCAAGTCATTCATAAACACAAACACAATTTTAAAGCTACTAAAAGAACAGAGTTCTATAGTTATAAACATGATAAATCTATAAAGACCTTTCATACTCAGTATCTAATACAAATGTTTGAATTGAATCATTTTTCAGTTTGTACATATTCATATCTATATTCTTTTAAGTTTACATCTCAATTTAAAATTATCTATGTTACATACAATTTTTCTAATACATATGAATGTTTCATTATACATGTAATGTAACTATGTTAAGAATAGCAAATAAAAAAATCAAACCTGAACCCCAGTTGTATAACCAAGCACCAATAATAAAGGTGGTGTATTAGAGCCTTCATTGTAATCTGGGTACAGGGCAGGGTCATTAATGTCTGCATACTCAAACCTTGCCCATGATATAGACTCCTTATTCTCAGAATTTGATGTGCCAGCATAAGCCTGTACAAAAACATAACATATTTTATATGTAATATTTATTTCAACACAAATCATATAAAGGGCAATATCTTAATGTACCAACCTGTGGAACAATATCATTAATTATTCCTGCAACACTGTCTATGATTGATCGATCAACTATTGGTTGTGGTGATACAACTTGAACTCCTTTATGCACACCACGTCTTGGAGAGTCTGCAGACATTTTTTCTTCCCAAACTGAATATTTTTACCTATAAATAAATACATGTAAAGCAATATTATTTAATTAAATAATATGAATGTATATTTTTCCTTTTCAATTATGAATTCCACTTTAATGTACTAATCAACATAATAATCACATAATTATTTATAATTTCAATAATTGAGTAATAAAGGAAAGTTATATTACCACTACTCTACAATTATATGAAAAATATGACATAATATGATGCAGTTGTTAAATTTACTACCTTGGAGATACAACAATAAATAGATGTTTAATGATATATTTTGCTACATTAATGAAAAATACTCCATTAATGAAAAATGAGCTTAATATTAAAATCTGTATATATAAAAATCAACATCATTGTACATAAAACAAATATATGTTTTAATAAAGATTCAAAACAAAAAAACGCAATAACACGAACCAATATGTATTAGTTACATATTTAAGATTTATTTGTATAAACATCAAATATATGCAACATACATATGTCTATTAATAACAATACAGTACATAACAAATAAAGATCGCACGAAACGAAGAAATTGATAATCTATCGAAGACAGGATAACTATTTCTACAATGAAATTTACGAAATGTTATCTGTACATCAGATAATACACAAATGAGTAATGAGAAGGTAGTGGGAGAATCTATTTTGCCTGTTAAAGAATATTACACAATCTACTACAGCTGTTCGTCGTGTACACTCAGGGACGATTAATAAAAGGCAAACACAAATGTCAAAACGACGATGAAGCGAAAGTTTGAAAGATTATCACTAGATATATCACAACACATTGAATTTAAAGAAAATAAATGAATACTTTGACATTAGAACAGCGACCCTGACATTTCGTCGAACAAAGGGGTAGAAGGCAATTTTGTCACAACAAAGTTATCGCTTCTCTTCGATGCCCTTATTGCTCGTCTTATGGAAAGATGTCTACGCTTCGATCTTTTTCGAATTAGTAGAAAACAGTCTTCAATTTACCTCGCCATAAAACTGTATTTTCATACTGGGAAGCTCGCCATCTCTGAGACGACCTTCTACTGCGTCATTCTACGAGTGACTGACACAACACAACCAGAAAACGATAGTGATGTCACCCCGCCCGCGAAACGTCAATCTTTTTGTTCGAAATATTCAAGCACAACGGTACGATTCTTAGCTGCGATAAATTGTTCGATTCGTTGTCCGTTTCGACGCACCAACGAGGATGTTCGAGAAGGTCGTTCGTTAAAAGGTATCACGTATCATAACTACGGCAACGGTCTGTTTCATTGGAAATACGAAAACAATAATCAGCTGATTCAGATAAGGAAATGGTAGGAAAGGAGGGGAGAACGAGAGAACAGCGAACCACGAACCCTGGCACTCACGATATCTAAAGAATAACTAGATGGCATAATCGACGTGGAAATTGTATTTTATCTGTATTGTTGATAAGTGTGTTTGTTAGTTGTGAAAGCGGATGATTGTGTTCTATTCAAGCTTTTGTTATAATAGTAAAATCATTTGAACTAAAATGAAATGGCCCTAAATTGTTTATGAACAACAACAGTACGTCATATATCCATTCCCAATTCCAGAGTTCAGGAAGAAGTACAAGTGACAGAAATTTATTCAAACGTAATGCAAATATTCATTGAATTATCTTAACGAAGAGATTAAACATTCATTTATGTAAAAACGAAATAATTTTGTTCATTACTATATTGGTATCACTGTATTATATAGCTTATATTTTAACGCAACCTCGAATGTTATTCTGCTATTTTAATTAAATGTTATAAAATTGAATGTAAACAATGTTACTTATAATTTTGATTAAATAGTGCGTAATAATACACGAAAATCCAATGATGTCATTAGTGAGAGAAATCAAATAAAAATTATACATATTTTGTGTAACGAAATCTATCATTGAAGAAGATTGTAAATATAGTTATATTAATCAATATATTTTCTGCGTGGGTGCGTTCATTATTGTACCAATATTGGAATTGCTTTGCAAGAAGAACGGTATGTTCGTGAAACTTTCTCATTTGATATTAGCGCCACCTAGAAGTGCAGTATCGTTTAAATTGAATTGGTATAATGAAGTTTTTATTTTAAAAATAATGATTTTTAAAAAGATTCTATTACAATATTTATCACGTGAAGTAAAACGTAGTTAATCAATAAAAATTACTACTATCGTCAAATTAATTAAAAAATATTTTAAACTCACAAATTGCAAATTAAAATAATTAGATATTCTTTATTGCCCCCCCAAAAAAAAACGTTTTACAATTCTGATAACATTTATTCTTAGAACAAATCATATTTCTTCCAGATAATTTACATTTGTATTCTTTATAAATTGATACAAAGCTAAATAAGTGTGTACTGAAATACTTATAATACTAACTTATCACGTTTATGTTGCGTGTTGCCTTGTCACTATGTCATTATATAGTAATTAGGGGGGAAACTGATAGGCACGAATATTCGAAATTATACATAATTATATGACGATGTATAAATTCAGAACTAATCCACTAAATTCTAAATAAAATAAATTTCACAATATACTACCCCGTAATAAAATAATCATTAGTCAAAGTGAAACATAAAATCGAATAAACAAGCACTAAATATATCATAATAAAGTACTTAATCCATTAAATTATTGTAGACAAGTTTCTCTTTATTACTCTAATGACTTTCTCTTTGAAGAAAAAACAGAAGGCTTAATTTGCACTGTCATAAAATCATACAGAAGTAATATATTATACGTGGTCGCGTTATATATCCATAATTTGAATAAAAAGGGAAGAAATTACTTTCCAGCTGTCCCATAATCGATTTAATATGTACAACGTTTAAATGTATATCTTTTGACAGGGGAGCTTCATAATTTACTGGCATGACTATCGCATAAACTATTCATGTGGCTCGATAAATCGTGTTAGCTTATAAAGCACAGTACCAATACACGCAGCTATAATTACAGACGGTTCAACGTAAGATTAATATTTCGTGTCGGTAGCAATGCATAGAAAATTCTTACTGTGGAATCCCCGATCTTTCGGTGCACTGTAATTATCTGTGCGTGTATTTGTGCAGCGAGAAGCCAACTTAATCGGTAGAGTTTGCGTGTCCTCCATGTCGCCGATGTCCCCGTGCCTTAAACCGAAAGGCAATGGTCCCCCGATTTATAAGTACACCGTTTCTACAGTCTTTCTCGGTATCTCGTTCGAGATAGATCAAAGAAACTGTGTTTTAAACTCAGTGATAATATCAATTAAAATAGTTCAATCGAAAAAAAGAAATTAAATATATTTGAAAAATGATGCGACGAAGAAGGGTATTCTCACACATCGAAACTTTTTTCGCGCGCTTTTTCAAAATTATCGTTACCGTTCAAAATTCGATACTCTTAAATTATATTCTGTTGACTAATTGCGTTGAAATTATTTCAGATGTTTGATCGTTTGAAATTCTTATTAATTTTTCTAATAATTTATAATCCTTTAGGTATATTAATGTTGTAATTATGAATTATTTTTTAAAGGGTGGTTTAAAATCTACGCGAAAGATGGCGAAAAAAACAACACCGGCAGCGTTGCAAGCTGAAATTTCTAATAATGAAGAATGGGAGAAACTTCTTACAAAAACGGGTTTAATAGGAATGTATAAATTATTTAATTAAACCTGAATTTGATTTTAATAGAAATTCTAATGTTGTAAATAATCTTACAGTGGTTGATATATATTCAGAATGGAGTGGACCCTGTACAGGAATGATCAGTATTCTAAAAAAGATTAAAATGGAAATTGGAGGAGATGCATTAAGTTACGCTACGGTAATTTCTAATTTCTATAATATAATAAATGCATTTCTAAAATGTATAAAATAATTTCTCGCTATTATTATAAATACAGGCTAAATGCGATTACATATCGGACTTAGAGCGTTTCCAAGGGAAAAGCGAACCAACATGGATGTTCATACACGTAAGTTCATATTAGCAACAGTTGACAATGTGATATATTGCAATTACGAAAATTTTTATTCAGAATGGTCGAATGGTGAACCTTATGTTTGGTGCTCAATGTCCACAATTCTTAAAACTGTTAACGACGGAATTGCAACGAGTGCAAAATGGTCAAGAACACGAGTATGTAATTTATATAACACTATTTTCGTTAAATAATATAATTTTCATTGATGAAAGAAGTAACTATTAAAATGCAGTCCTACATAAATAAAAGTTATTAAAGTAGCGTAATATTAGTTATTCTTTATGCCGCTCGTATGTAGGTTTTCTATACACGTATCGGAAGAAAGTCCGGAAGAAGTAAAACGATTAAAAATTATCGAAGAAACTAGAATAGCTAAAGAAGCGGCAAAAAAATCTCGAAAAGGTTCTGTGACAGTAACGATTATAGAAAAAATACAAAATATAATATTAAAAGTTAATTCGCACAATTTTAATAGAATTCACTGTTTCATGCTGTTTTTATTTATCTTAATGCTTAAGTACGATATGAATGCAATCTTTTGCGATTCGTAAAATTGTACAACGCTTCATCACGCACGCTTTCTTTCGGATTACAGTAATATGAACAAAATACTACAACAAAATTTTTTCTAATAATATGATTTTTTTCATATAATATGATTTTATGCAGAAGCTGAAGCTGTAGCACTATATGAAGCCAAAATGTTGCACTTGACTACTTCACTGAGCAACGAAACTTGCCTTTTACTTTACCCGTGGGTTTTTAAAGACGAAGAAGGTCATAAAAGAGATAAAAAATCAAGTCCACCGTACGTAGAATTGGTTGATGAAATATTAGCAGAGAATTACATAATTGAACAAGAAATGCGAAAACGACTCAATGAAGATATTCTTGACACGATGTTTAATGAAGTAAAATATTAATATTTTATTAACATTGTAATAATTTTAACGAATTTTGAAATTATTCAATGGCAAATTATGAAATTGCGTACAATAAAATACAGAAACTTATAATTATACAATTTTATAGTCCGACTATGTACCATCACCAAATGCCAAGCAGCTGCTTTTAGATGGTAAATGTATGTTCATACGGTTAAAAGTAAACGAAACGAAACCAGAAGTTGATATACATCAGCACTTGTTAAACCTTTTATTTGGAGAACCAGAATTGCCCAACGCGGAAACAATTCTTAACGAAGAATGGTAAACAAACACAGTAGCGCCCATAAATATTTGCCCACCCATTTATTCACAATGTTCTTTATTCCAATAAGTAACTGCATTTAACCAGTTTCCAAGGAATAACTCAAGGATTTAACTTGTTTCGTAACCCTTATTTAAAAAAATGCACTTCTTTTGAAAAATATATCACAATTTTGAAGACAGAAAAGATGTGGAATCCAAATAAAATTTTAAAATAATTTAATCCATACTGAAAATAAATTTTATACATCAATTTAAACTAATAATTTAGAAGAACATTTTTATAATGAAATTTTTTATTCTGTTCTAATTTGTATCAACTGAATAAAAGTATTATTTGCTTGAATCATACATTTATTAACATATTTCACGATAAAATTGTTGATAATATAATTCTAAAAATAATTTTGCCTTTAATCAGTATCTAACGATTTCTTTTTCCTGTAGTTATGCTAGGCGGCATCGTCCTGCCTACGCAACAGATGAAACTGAAATGTTTCCTGTTGTATGGACACCGCCAAATTCTCGAAATAAGGCAATTGTTTTTCGTACAATTTTTGCTACATACACTAACAATACATATGCTGTAAGTGTTTCAAATTTTCATACTTATGAGATAGATATTGCACTATATGGAATATCTTCATTTTATAGTACGAAGATAAAACCGAAAATGTACCTATAGTTCTGTTCAAATATGATTATACGAGAAAAAATGATCTAACTATGGTTTTACAAGAATTTGAAGATGAAGTAATACATTTTGGCATTTTTGAATCCGACAAACCGCCAGAAGCGAAACTTATAGCAACGAGTATTGCGGAATTTGAATTAAATGTAAAGGAAAGAACGGGGTAAATATTACGTTACATCATTGCCGAAAACTCTTTTTTAGAAAATATACTTATTCTACATCAATATACTCCAAAATAAAACTATGAAATTAATTTCCAGGTATGAGACATTTGTATGTGTTGTAAAAAAAGTAGGATGTGAAGCGTTTTTAGGGTTTGCTGGCATTGGACCCTATCATGTAAGTGAAAATCCAGAAAAAAGTATAGAGGAATCACAATTATATTTCCCGGATATTACTGCTGTAGAGGAAACGCAATCAGACGATGAAGAAAAACCAGAAGAATTAACAGAAAATCCCGAAGAAAGCAAAAATGTGACAACATAAAATAAAAAACTAATTAATGTACCCAAACCTGTTTTTCATTTATATAATTCTTTTATACAACATTAATTTTTGATCTCACATTTAATTAAATATGAAGGAATTAATAACATACAAAAACATTGTTATAAAGCCAAAATTTATTTTCCAACCACCTCTGCTTGCTATATAAAACAATGTAGAAGTAGACAAAATGCCTAAATGTTGCAAGTCAATTTAAGGGTATGGTACAATAAATGATGGCAAATAAACAAAATTTATTTCTTATAACCACAGCTTCGCCTGCGGCCTCTTGCTCTTTCAAATTTTCGACCTTTAGAACGTACTAATGGTTTTGTATGAGAATGTGGTACACCAGGTGCAGGTCCAAAGTGTTTCACTGCTTCACGGGCATTACGACGACCTTGCATTAAAACAGTTCGTTTTCCGGTAGGTGCACGTAACGCTAACTGATCGAAAGTGATCAACTGACCTCCAGCCTTCAATATACGAGCTCTAGCTCTCTCAGTAACACGTAAAGCACATATCTATAATATACAATATAAATAAAATAAACACATTGCACATTTTTAAATAAATTTTTTAAATACTAAATTATAAAAGCCAAAAGTCTTTAATATGTTTAATGTTTTATATGTAGCTCCCAACTTAAAGTATTTCCAATTAAATAAAAATTAAATTTTGAAGTTTGATAATATCACTTACTGTAAGTTTAGGAATTTCAAAAATCCTAGCATCATCTGTTACTGTGCCAACAATTACTGCAACAGTATTTTCCCGTCCAGGTTTTTTCATAAACCTAACGATGCGTGCAAGAGAAATTGGAGGACGATGTATCTTGCTCATAAAAAGTCTTTTAAGGATGATCTTATTAAACTTAGCATTTGTACGTCTAGCCAGAAACCGGTAAAGCTATAACAAAAACAAGTTTATATACCTTTCTGTGTATACTTTACAAAAACATGCTTTTATAAAAATTCACTTTAATGGAACTCTCACTTGAAATAAATATTCAGTACTTTTGACAAATATTTAATTATTATTACAAAATATTTTACCATTTTATCATAAAATATAATACTAGAATGCAGGAAAAGTATTACAAAGCAAACATAAAAATTGCTAAAACATACGTTAATAAAGAAATTTTTACATATTGGATTTAAATATACGGATAACAAATTAATAAATACTCTATATTAAAATGCAATAAAATAATTTGTAAATAATCATATGAACTTTTATCAAGTTTCTTTATTATAATGTGTCATCTCGAATAAACGTCTTTCGCATAATACGAACAGCCGGAATAGGAAGATGACTAAATTTATTCTAGCGAACGTTCAAATTGGATCAGCCTATAAAAGCTCTGACACAGAGTGCGGTTCGCAAAATAGATTTATATACTTTGAAACTCACGTGTTTATGACAACAATGCAGTATTAGTTGTTAGAATAAGCAGTTGCGTTTTAACATAACTCAAACTAGCATTTCATTTTGCTTACTAATAAAATATGCAATATAACTGATACAACATTGAAAATGTAATTTAAATTAAATGTCTCAGAATATACGTAAAAATACTCACTTTAACGAGAAGTCGCAAGTAGACATCTTGTGATCTAGGTTCTGTACGCCGTACTTTCCTATCGTGTTTGTGATTAATGTCGATACCCTATACAGAAAATAATTTTCATTAATTTTCTTCAACATTTCTGAAGGATAATTAAAAACTTCATTCATTTTCATTAACACAGATGAATCAAATCGTTATTGATTTTATAAATATCACAGATCCGCCGCACCGTCTTACCATTTTGACAAACCGGAAAAGAAACGGACGACCTCTTACGCTACTAGATAGGGACTCGTGTAAACGGATGTCCAAGAGGGCGCTAGTCAATGAATGATAAAATTGATGTAGAAAATAGTACCTACATAAAAGATGAATAATTAATGATTAAATGTATAAATTTATATTAATTCATATTCAAACGGTGCGCATTTAATAACAATAAACTTAAACATCAAAAAAATTTATTTGTTTATACAAGTTTAG